AGGGTGTGGCTGCAACTCCAGCTTCGTCTGGTTTCCTGTGAGATCACCGCTTTCACCATCAGTGGTCCGTGCCCTGCCCGCATCCTCTCTCACATCTGTTAGAAAAGGCTACAGGACCTGTCTGTGGAGTGCGCACAGGTGCGGGATGGCTGGGGTGTGGGCTAGGGTAAGGGACCCTGTTTGAACATTGAGGGGCGGGGGGAGACTCCCTCCCAGGAACTGCGTGGGCAAAAACAGAAGCAGTTGTGAGCCACCCCCTTCTCTTACCTGGCACCTCTCAAAGCCCTCTAGCCCCTGAGCGCCTGGGAAATCTGGGCCTCGTAAACTCTACACTCTCTAAGCAGCTCCAGTCTGCCTCTCCATTTCTCTGGCACATTCTGCCTCAGGACCTTTGCACCTACTGTGCTCGCTGTCTGGGAGAGCTCAGCCCTATTCCTTCCAGGATTCCCTCTTTTACTTCTTTCAGAACTTGCCTCAGTCTCCTCCTCAATGGGCCTGCCTCTTGCACCACCTACGATCACCCGCCCACAACCCAGCCCTTTTCCCTGCTTCCTGCTTCATTCTTTTCTTCAGGGCACTTATCACTGTCATTATTTTGGATATCGGCTTATTTGTCTCTCCCATCACAAAGACAACTCCATGAGGGTGTGTCTGTCTTGTTTTCAACTTTATCCCAACCACCTAGCACAGTGCCTGGCACACAACAGGTACTTGAAAAATGACAAGCCAAGCAAGGGGTAACTAGGTGCAGGAGCTGGCTCTCATGACCTTGGCTGGAGCAATTTAATAATTCAATAATCTATGAGCATCCTACCCCAGGTACTTATTCCTCCTACTCCCACCCTGGAGGCCCTTCCGCCCATAAACTAGCCAATCCAGCCACATTTCCCTCCCCCACTTGCTGTGCAACTTGGTGAGACCTTGTCCATCTCTGAGCTTTGTGGCAGTTATTACTCCCTCCTCCTGTGAGGGGGGCTGCAGAGCTTTGGGGGATGTATAGAGACTGCAGGCAGGACGGTCACACTGTTGTTTTGCCTGGATGCCCTCCGTGGCACTACCTGCGACGGGAGGCAGATACGACTAGGAGTGTCCTGTAATCAGAATGGGCCGCGTTCCCTCAGCAGACCCATGTCTCAGCCATGTACCCAAGAACAGGCCCTACCAGCTTCCTCTTCCCCGGCTCAGTTCCCCTTTGCCTGGTGACGTGGGCCAAGAGCGTGTTGAGGAGGGAGCATGGAGAGGATAAATTTCCTGGGTGGGAGGGAGGAGGCCAGACCCATAGATGAGATCCAGGCCTGCTCTACCAATGTGGCCCCTGCTGCAACTGCTGCTCTTTGGTAAGGAGCTGCAGAGGGTAGGCGGCCTGGCGACCAGGGAAAAATGAGCAAGCTGTTGCAGAAGGGGGCCACCGGCCCTTGAGCACTGGAAGTCTGGGTTCTCTTCAAACTTATAACCATCCTGGATGCGAGTACCAGGAACCTGAGGCAGGACATGAAGGTGAGGGCCCTGGGGGTGTTAGCCTGTAGGGAGGAGCTCCATGTGGATGAGACCGGGCCTCTGAAGATACTGGGTATCCACCCAACTAACGGGACGGGAAGCTGAAGGAGGCCCAGCTCTGTGTCTTAAAATGAAAGTGAGCAGAGCTGGACACCACCTATAATGTGCTTCAGGGCAGAAAGGGGAGGAAATCTTCCCAGGGAGCAGGTTGTGGAGCAATAGAGAGGCATTCCAAGGAAGACCTCACAGGTGGGGTGGGCTTGGAAGGCTGAACACTGTTCTCTGCAGAGAAGGGGGGATCCTATCTTGGCAGTGGGAGTAGCATGTGCAAACCTGGAAGCATAGTCAAGCATGAGTAGTCTAAGAACTACGTTTCATAAGAACGCTTAAGATTGACTGTGCTTCAGGCTAAGTACCTGACATACGCTGTCATTTCCAGTCCTCGCAACCACCCTCTGGGTGATGAGGTAACTGAGATTGAGAGGCTGAGAGCTTTCTCCAGTTCATCCAGGTCCCCACGCAGGTGGGATTCCGGCTGGACAGATGAAGGTTGGGAGCCGGGGCTGCAAAGGCTTCCAGGCCTGGATGGAAAGATGATGGGCAGGCAGGAAAGAGGTGGCAGGCTGGCATCGATGCCCCCCGACGCAGAAGTGAGCTCTGCAACTTCAATCCCGAGGTGCAGAGCCCAAGCCGGCTGAGGCCTATGGCAAGAAGGCACCTGCCGCATGGCCTTGGCAGGCAAGCATCTTCATGGGCACCTGGTACCGCTGCAAAGGGGCCCTCGTCTCCCAAGAGCGGCTGCTCACAGGAGCCAACTGTTTTGGCAGGTGGGTGTAGGGGACAGGGTGATGGAGAGAGGCTCAGGGAGGCAGCCTCAGCCTCCCCACCTCCCACTTTCCACAGCCGCCACCTGTCCCATTTCACTGTGACCCTGGGCCCAGATCGACTGGCACTGACACGTACACAAACAAGTCAAGCATAGAGGAGCTGCTTCTGTCTCCAGGAGGGTCTGGCGGCCTGGCCCTGGCCCAGCTGGCAATCCCACCGCCTCCCAGCACCGCTGTGCAGCCTGTCCCTCTGGCCACGCAGCGCAAACCACTTTTCCCATGGCAGCTCTGCTGGGCCCAAGGGTTTAAGCCTGATTTTGGTAAGCAGGGGAGCAGACACGGATGGCTGTAGAGGGAACACTGGCCTGGGGAAGGTCAGACCCAGAGTGGGGCTCAGGGTGCTGGGGTCCCTGGATCTCAGAGAACAGCCTAGCCTTGGCTGGTCAGTACCAGGGACGTGGGCTTGCAGGGCAGAGGCGGCACCAACTCCCTGCTATGCCTGCACCAGCCCTCAGCTCCACCCAGCCCTATGACAGGCATAGAGTACGCACCCCAACTCCTCCCCCAACTCAGAATGTCTCAGACCTCAGTGGGTTTAAAAAGATGGCACCGTGCTAACAGGGAGGTGTGCTGGGGAAGGTCAGGAGCTGGGTGGTGTTGGGGCCACGGGACCTGGGCAGGCAGAGAAGTTCTGTAGTAAGCCAATGTCCACCGACCCACTGGATGCCCCCTGGCTGAGGGTCCGCCTCCCATTCCCACGCAGATCCCTACATCCCACCTTGAGAGCTGCACAGGGTCCCGCCTAGACCGCTGCCCTCAGCACCTGCAAAGACACCTTTCGTACTCAACCCGGCTGTCCTGACCTGAAGGTCAGCCTGCCCAAGGGCTCCCAGTGTGCCAGGCCCCCAGCGGGCCCACCTGAACTGGTGGTGAGGATTCCAGCCAGCCCTAGACCATCTTGAGACACTCCTTCCCCCACAACCCCTCCTACAGCCCGCAGGCCTGGCAGAGGGAGGCCTGGACATTCTCCCACCCCACCCAAGTCTCCCACTCCACAACGCCCAGGTAACGGACTGATCTACAGCTCTGGTGGCCACCCTGGGCCTCCTGCCCTGGTGGCCACCCTGGGCCTCCTGCCCTGGTGGCCACCCTGGGCCTCCTGCCCCATACTCTCCTCTATGTCCTATTGGCATGTGGAGCAGTTTCTGACATAGCTAGGTTTTAAACTACTGGGAACCCCTGGTTACTTAATAATAGCAAGCACTGCTGAAAAGTAACTTTTGTGTAATACTGAGCATTGAAAGCCACCAGGAGGGTTGGGTGAAAGGGGTAGAATTTGTGGGAGAAAGCATTTGCAATGGAAAGAGGGGTGTGGCAGGGAGTTTAAGACCATGGCCTGGGGAGATGAGCAGCTTCCACAAGCTCAGAGTGTTTTGCTTAGGCTCCCACCCTCTTGCTGCCTCAGTCAGACCCAGGAACCCACAGCCCCCTCCCCTACTTAGGTCTTTGTTCCTCTGGGAATGGGAGGTCCCTGCACCTGGGACGGCTGTGACCCTTCCTTCCCTCTCCTGCACAGGTATCTGATGGCAACCCCCTGGTCTGCTCCCAGGCCAGCCGCTGGCTGCTGCAGGGTGTGATGACCTGGGGCCCCTGTTTGGGACCTGGTCTCCCTGAAGTTTACACACCTGTGCACCCCTTCATTTTCTGGATCTTGGAAAGGTCTTTAATGACACCTTTAAAATGACGGCCAAGCAGCACCCTTTAGACTGACGTAGAACCAGGTGGAGAAAGCAGTGAGGGCCTAGTCTGTGGAGTCCGGATATGAATCCTGGCTGGGTTACTCACCTGGGGGCGGGACTGTGTCTGGTTCACCTCCTTCTCCGAACCTTCTTCCTCTGTGTGCCAGATATGCAATCCATGTATTCCTTCTTCCAAGAATGTTATCAGTGCTAAAGTTCCACCTGGCCCCCTGGCGTAGAGGCGGAGACGAGCACTAGCCCCATTCATGACAATAAAACCGTGCAGATATAAACCATGCGGAGTGCTAAGAAGAATGAGTGGATCCACGCGTTAACAGTAGTTGCGAACTACTTATTGGGTGACCAGGGAGTCCGGGAGTCCTGACAGAGCCGCGGTTCTGGCTCACTCCTCCCCCAACAGCTGGGGTCTGAGCTGTGGGGTGCAGCCTCCGTTGGGCCTCAATGTTCAGCTTTATATTTGAAGAGCAAAGGCTTGGATGCGAAAATTCTTGAAGTCCCTACCAAGTTTGTCTACCAAACTCGAGTGAGAGTGGGCGAGGGTCTCAAAACTACAAAGGCGCATCTCCCCTGATGGGACACAGAGAGCGAGGGACTTTCCAGAAACCAGGCGGCCGGACCTACGCTCCTGGCCTCTGGGCTTTAACCCCGACTCGCGTGGTCACCTGTCAGCCACCAGCCCGCCCCTCCCTGCGCGCCCCCTGCCTCCGACCTCCCGACGGCGCCACAGCGCCACCGTGTGGCCGAGAGTGAGTTGTACCGTTTGGCTGCGCGGCAAGGGGGCACCTCCGCGCTCCGCAGCTGCGCCAGCCAGAGCCGGAGCAGACAAACACGCCCGAGGGCGTAGCCTGGCGGGATCGGGCGAGGGGCCGGGCTTGACCACGAGGCCCGCCCTTCCGCCCTGACCCCCGCGGAGGGAACCAGGCTGGGCTGGGTGGGGCCGCAGAGCTGGTCTCCTCGGTTCCGCCCCTCTCGTCACTGCACTTGCGCAGCGCTGCCCTCCGGCACCCGCCTTCGCGAAGAGCCCGCGTCCGTGAAATATGGCCCACGCGCCGCGCCGTCTGTTTCCAGGGCAACCGCAGCGCCTCCGCTCCACGGCGCGCGCAGTCTGGGTGGGCTGCCTGCCTCCCCCCCTCTGCCATGGCTGCCGCGAGTCCCAGCGTCTTCCTGCTCATGGTCAACGGACAGGTAGAGAGCGCGCAGGTGAGCGACCTGGATCCCACCGGAGCTGGCCTCAGAGTCCTCCGGCCCGGCCCGGCCCGCAGTCTCCCAGGCTGCCGGGTTGGCCCTGAAGAAGCTTGTTCTTCCCCGGGGCTCTGTCCCTCGCTTAGGCAGGAGAGGGCAAACGACGTTCTAGAAGCTCAGCGCGAGGCCCTGCGAGTGTTTTAGCCTCGATTTGCCGGTGTGGAAACAGACCTCTAGAGTTTGAACTAATATCGAGGTCACTATACTTGGTCAAGACTGTGTGGCCCCCGGCTCGGAATGTGAACTTGGTTAAGTCATGGCCAGGAGCTTAATGCTCGTGACTGGCTTCGCCATAAAGTCAGTGATTGAGGCCAGGCCATGCCCAGTGCGCAGTGAGTACCCATCTGTCTGAACCTCCAGTTCCTTGAACTTTGGTAAAACTGATGATGGGATTGATACGGGCCCGCGGCGGCGGTGGCCTGAATGATTCAGGGAGAGTGCGTCTGTACCTGGAAGGGGATGCCACTCTCCATCTCCTATACTCGAAGATATATATATATATATATATCAGACTTCACTCCAGCACTGCAACCTTAAATCTCCTCCCCGTGTGCTCAGGACACAGAAAGGCATCAAACCCTTTTCCAAGGCTGATGGGTTTTGACAGTCAATTCTTGACAGAGGGAAGCACCAGGGGCTGAAGAAGCCAGCCTTGGGCAGTCTAGAAATTAGGGAAGATTCCCTAAAGAAAGAGTTTTGACAGTTGAGCAGGAGTGTGCCAGATGCAGGAATGTGAAGGGCGTGTCAGACAGAGGCAGGGCCTGAGTCAAGGGGCAGCACACCTTGGACCCTCCCTCTGCTCACCTCAGTCCCCAGCCCCCTGCTGAACTCCATGCCCTCTGGCCGAGCTGCCGCTTCAACCCCATCACAAGTGGGGTTCAGAATTCCTGTTGTCTTTACCTGCCTAACCAGCACGCTGGGCTCAGCATATTAACGGGTCCTGTGTGCTTGTTTTCAGTTTCCTGAGTATGATGATCTCTACTGCAAGTACTGCTTTGTGTACGGCCAGGACTGGGCCCCCACGGCGGTAAGCTGACCTCTTCGGCCTCCCTTACTTAAAGCCCCCTGACTGCTGGGGTTTCTGTCACAATTCTTTCCTTCCAGTTTAGAACTTACGAAGTAGCAGACACCAAACTTGGCGGGGGGGGGGCGCGGAGAGGCACACATGATTTTCTTCCTGGTAAAGTTGGAGCGGAGGGAGAGTGAGGCCAAGTGATTGCCTTAACCCGTCCCACATCAAGAAGGAAGCACACAGGAGTGATGAAACAGGAGAGACCCACAAATGTGAGGGGGCCCCAGAAAGGAGGAGTTTTGAGGAAGTCATCCTTTGTGTCAGATGCTGCTGTTGTGCCAAGTACAAGGAGAGAGAGAAGTGTTCTCCATAGATACAAAATACCAGGGTCACTCATGTTACATGACAAAAAACACTTTGGTAGGGTGGGGGCCAGAAATCAGCACAAAGCAGGTTTATGAAAGTAGAAGGAATGGGAGCCATGAGTATCTACACAGCTGTCAAGGTCCTCTGAAGGGGAGCAAGAATGGGTCGATGGCAAGAAGAACAGCAGTCAGTGATGCTTTGTGAGAGAGAGAATAACATCTGGATGGCTGCCAGTGGGGACGATCGGGCAGACATGCAGAGAGAGTGACAGGCACGGCAGCTACTCCTGTTTGCATGGACGGGGGACAGGGAGGGGCGCTCAAGGTTCTCAAGCTTTAGTGGGATAAAATGTCAAGATCTAAGGGCTACATTATTATAGTTCCCTCTGTCTGGAAGTTAGTATCTTAGTAGAGGTAGTTAAGAAAATGGCCCTCCCAGCTACCGACCCAGGTAAGTGGGGGCTTGGGAGCTTGGCCTGGACACTCGCTGTCACTGTCTTTGTGCACCCAGGGCCTGGAGGAAGGCATCTCCCAGATCACATCCAAGAGCCAGGACGTGCGGCAGATGCTGGTGTGGAACTTCCCCATTGACGTCACCTTCAAAAGCACTAACCCCTATGGCTGTGAGTTAAATGGCCCTCTGGGCCAGGGGTGGGGGTGCGGCAGGACACTCTCCACCTCCTTCTTCCCACCACTGTCCATACATCGATCTTCACTAGCCGTTCACGGCCCCATCACTGGGCCTGCACCAACTTGTAATGCGTTCCCTGCCACCTGAACAGTTCCCTTGTTTCCTCCTCCATACCTATCTAAGTCTACCACAGGCCATGCAGTTGACCTTATGGAGAGTCAGTGAGACCCTACCTGAAACCTCAGATAGTTCTGTACCTGGAAAGGACAGAGCCAGGTGGGACTACAGCAATTTGGTCAGATGTCTCTCAACTTCCCATCAAGTGTTCCACTCCAGAATCCAAGCCACCTGGCCTATGCCAGTCTTCTATTCTGAACCTTGACTCATGCTGTCCCCTCTGCCTGGGATACCCTTCCCATATCCTCCTCTGAGCTCTCCCCAAAATCTTTTCTGGTACTTACTAGCCACTCTAGTTGTTCACTCTCCCTGAGTGAGCACTGACTTATGCAAAAACCTGGGGCTAGCGCTGTGGGAGCAATGACTGCTCTCCCGGTGTAACTTGTCCAAGCGTCCTAACTCTGCCTGGTGGATGGATTTCTCTCCACTTCGTTTTCCATATTAGGAAACTGAGACTCAAATAGTGATGTCATGTGCCTTGAGCTGTACATCTATGTAGCTGAGTATGAGTTTGGTTTCAAGTGCACCTCATTTCTTAATCAGAGTCTTTCTGCATGTGGTCTGGGCTCAGGCTTCCTGGGTACAGAAGGTCGGAAGCAGGGGGTGAGTGGTACCTTTCTGGGCAGGGACTGCCATCTGCTGTTATAAATTACAAATAAGATACTTCCATAGGCTTCTTGGAAAAAGGCACTAGATAATGGACCAACCTCTTCTTGCTGAGGACAGATGGGCAAGATGAATAAAATAGTAAAAAGCAGTTTGCTTGAAGATATCAGGGAGCTAGCAAAATCATGGAGATTTACCAGACCAAGATCCAGGAGAAAAACAAATCCAGAGGTATGAACCAACCACATCACTCTGGGAGTATTTGCTGAGCCCAGCAGGGGTGACTGAGAGGCTGAGCCAGAGTCGGCCAGCCCCTCTGGGCTAGCGGCACGAGAACCATGAAAACCCCAGCCATGTAGGCTGGCACCTCAGAGCGCTGTGCCGGGAGCAGGGAGCAGCAGGGCAGGCCAGCTTCACGGCGGCAGCTTTGCCCCAGAACATTGCAGACCTTGAACTTGGTTGCAGCTATCCAAACAAATATTCACAAGCTGGTTCTGGCAGGATACAAAAAGCATAATAGACATCATCAGCAAGTAGTATTTGCTCCAGAAATTCCAAGTTTGTATAACATCTCAAATCAACCCGTGTGATTCACCACATCCAAAAGAAGAAAAGTCATGATCATCTCATAAAAGAAAACATGGTAAAGTTCAACAGCCCCTCAGGACAAACACTTAGCAGACTGGGGATGGAGGGAAACTTCCTTAATCTGATAAAGGCTAGCTATAAAGTAGCATGTTTGGGATGCATTCTTTGGCAGTGAAGCTTAAAGAAAAGTGGTTTCCTAAAATCAGAATAGTGGTTTCCTTTGGGAGCAGTGACAAGGGGGTATAGCCCTCTCCCCCAACACCAACCCAGCATCATTCTGCCAGGCACTACCAAGTGTCTACAGAGAGGGGGGGATTCCCCTGTCAGCTCCTGCCGGCTATTCCAGGCTTGGAGTACTGTCCTCTCTGTTCTCTGCCCTCCCCCTTTCACCAGATTTCCCCAGATGCTAACCCCTGCTTTGTCCTCATCAAGGGCCCCAGATCGTGCTCAGCGTTTATGGACCAGATGTGTTCGGGAATGATGTGGTCCGAGGATATGGGGCAGTACACGTGCCTTTCTCACCTGGCCGGTAGGTCCTGGCTTTAAATTTGTCGCTGGGCCACAGCCTGGGAAGCAGGGTACCTCAGCAGGGCTTTTCCTGGCACAGACTTCATCTCTTTGTCCAAGTCAGACTTAGGCCGGGAATATGCTGGGGTGCAGCCTGTATGGGAGGCTGATGTTACTACCCAAGCACCAAGTGGGGTGCAAGAGTGTTGGGGGGCCCACCACAGATCATCTCAGTGCTCCTGAGAGGGAGCTGGCCCACTACAGTTTAGAGTCTGGAGTTCAGAGTTAAAGACCACTCAGGACTTCGTTTCTCTGCCTGCTTTCTACCTCCACTGTGCTGGCTTTTTTGCACATGGATGTTCAGGGGCAGGTATGGCCACATGGTCTTGCCCTCAGACACTCCAGCCTAGCAGACACAGATGGAGACACTCTCTCTTATTCAGCACAGTGCCTGGGTATAGACAATAGGGTGTTCTAAGGCACAGAAAAGGGTCAGTCGGTTGGCCTTAGACACCTAGGAGTTTGCCTGGAGTAGGTGAAGGAAGGAAAAGGAAGCAATTATATGGAACGCTCTGAGTTTTGTCATAGAAAATAACCAGGTGGAGGGTCGAGGGGATGATGGAAAGAAGGAACCGGGTCGGGGGGAGGGCTGGACCCCAGGCTTCAAGGACCACACTAGGGCAGGTGACCTAGCAGGGGTCTCCAGGGCCTTCCTGGAGAAAGGTATCCAAAGTAGACCTCAGAGGTAGCAGGCATTTGGACAGCTGGAGAAAAATAGGGCTGTCTGGGGGTAGTGGATGGCACAGGTGTGGGCCTTGGCAGTCCTCAGCACCCTCGACCCTAAAGTGAACAAGACTGACGGGTCTCAGCTGGGCTTAGCACTGAGTCTGGCACCATGGTGGTCAGTGCAGGTGGGACCGGGTAGCCTTGGCTCTTACGAAGCTGATCTGTGTTTCTGTCTACTCGAGACTCAGAACTTTCTATCACTGCTCTGACTCAGCCCCTCTGTCTGTGGCATTTGTTCCAGGCACAAGAGGACCATCCCCATGTTTGTCCCAGAATCTACATCCAGACTACAACAGTTTACAAGGTGAGTTTTCTACTTCCAACCCCCAGCTCCTGACCTATGGGTAGAGGGAGTGGAGGAAGGGATGTCACCTTCCCCCACCCGCCCCCACCCCGCAGCCCCGCGGCTACTGTGCAGGTAACCTTGCTGGATCGATAAGCTGCTCTGAGTCTTGGGGACAAATGGAAACACGTCCTGTGGGGCTGCTGAGGGCCCTGGCTTCCCCTCAGCCTCTGACCCAGCAGCATAAGGCCATGCAGTTTTACTCTGTCTTGTTGAAAGTCGCTGTGTCAGATGCAGTGGAAGAAACGCCCATAGCAGGTGGGGAAACGTCCTTGATTCTGTCAGTTACTAGGTGACTTCACATGTGGGAGCCCCAGAGGAGGTGGCATCTGGGCAGTGTGGAGCTAAGGAGCCATTGTGGGAGATCTGAGAGGAGACTGTCCTGGCGCAGGAGCAGTATGTGTGAGACTCTGAGGACAGCGAGCGCTGTTAGGACCCAGGAGGGGGTGTGACGCATAGGGGTGAGCAAGGGGGACAGGGAGGAGGGACATCAGGTGAGCAGGCGTACTCGGGGGCAGATGAGGGAGACTGAGCCGAAGTAGGAGCTTGAAGGGCCAGCAGAGGTGCAGCTGACTGACTTAGGATTGGGGGATAAATCCCAGTCAGCCCAGCTGTCTGAGCGCCCCTGCTGCTCCCTTAGCCAAGGAACGTGCCCTGGGCCCTCCCTTCACAGCCGGGAGAGAGGACTACCTGACCCTGGCCGGCAGCTGGCAAGCAGCACCTTGTCTGCCTGGCTGGTATGAGGGGTGCACGTGACCAGAGTCCTGCTGTGTGGAGACCAGGGTCAGACCTGAGCTCTGAGGCCTCCAGAGGGGACACTCTGGGTGCCCGCTGCCCCTAGAAGCCACTCTGGGAGGCTATCATGATGCCCTGGGCGAGAGCGAGCTAGAGGTGCCGATACCCTCAGGGGCCTGCTGGGGAAGCATTTGGCGCTGCCTGTCCACAGGCACCGGGACTGTTAGGGGCTCTGAGGCCTGGTCGCCTGTTCACGCTGCTCCACACCCCACTGCGCCACCCCAGGTCCCTGGGCCCCGTGGCTGACTCTAGGCCTTACTGCCCACACACAGTCACGTTTCTGTCAGCACCTGCGGTCTGGTAGCTCATGCGGGGGCTGTCTCTGGCCCTCAGAGGGGCTCTCTGCTGGATGTGCTGGGTTACAGGAAATCAGTGAAGGTTGTTTTCTCTCAGACACGGGGCCAGGAGCAGCCACCTCAGTTTTGGCTCCAGCAGCCCCCATGCCGACACCCTAGGGGCACCCAGCTTGTCTCTGCCTCTTCCAGCCTCCATGGTGGCACCTACCTGGGCTCAGTCCTGTCTGCCTGTGGGCACATCCCCGCCCCCAGAGCCACTGTGGCCTCTCCACTCATCAGGACACTGGCGATGGCAGTGGGGGTCCAGTCTGGCGATCCAGAACCTTCTCCTGCTAAGATCCTCACCTTAATCCTCACAAGTGCAAAGATCCTTTTCCAAATAAGGTCACATTGGCAGGTTCCAGAGGTGATCTCTTTGGGGCCATTATTCAGCCTCACAGCTCGTCTTCACAGAGTAAGAATACTTTTCCTAAACCCAGCTTTGGAGGCCACTCCGCCCAGCTCCGTGCAGGGAATGAAGGCGCTAGGACGCGGTGAGCCCCTCCACCCTCTTGCCCTCTTACTCGAGTCCCACCTGCCTGGGTCCTCTGGCCCATGGATCCTCCCTGCTTCAGCTGCTGCCTGGAACACTCTCCTCTGAAGAGTCTGCTTCTTCTCTCCCATTCCTGTCAGATAAACAGAAATGCAGGGGCCACAACAGACCCACACTTGGGGTATGCCGGGCTGGAGGTGGCTGCTCCCCGTGTCTCTCGTCTCACTCCAGATGGAGAAATGGAGGCACAGGGAGGCAATCTTGTACCCATCCAGCCCCTGGCTTGAACCCTGTCCCCTGGGAGTCATGTGGCCATGGTGCTGCTCTTCGCCTCCGTCCAGCCTGTGGCCAGACTAGGCAGGCAATTGTTGCTCCTGCAGTGTGAGGTGCCAGTCTGCCCCCCGGGGCAGCACCAGTGGGCGCTGGTGCCTGCCTCAAGAGGGCCAGTCAGGGGCTTGCTGCAGCTTGGGCTGGGGCAGGGCACACTCCGTCAGGTAGTGGTGGGGAGTGTGGCTTTTCCTGTCCGAACCTGGGCCCCCACGGCTCAGTGACTTCACAGAAAGCAGACCGGGTGCGCCCCATCGGGACCTGCCCTGTGGCAAAAGGGCCTCTCCGGGAATGCGGGAGCCCCAGTGACTCAGAGTCCGACTCCTTCCACGCTGAGGCCACTAGGTCTCGTGTCTGGCCATGAAGGTGTACCTGTTTGTTTCCAGCGCAAGTGCGCATGTCACGGGTGAAGCTGCTGCTCTGGGAAGAGTTGCTCTAACTTGGTAGCCTGAAGCCCTCAACGGACTGGAGGTCCCCTGCCACTTCTACTTCCACTGCTGCCTAAGGGGGCCTAGGGTACATCTGACTTCTCTTAGCTTCTGTGAGCTAAGGCTCACAGAGCAAGGCTCCTGTGAGGGGAGCTAGGGGTGGTGTCTCAGGGCACTAGTGCTGAGTATTGCGCCCCTTTCAAGGTGACTATGGGGTTGACAGTTGTCTGTCACCACAGAGCAGGCACATCTGGGGGCAGGTGTGTCCCAGAGCCAGAGCCAGGGTGTAAATCCCAAGGTTAGTTTCCTACAGCAGTTGACAAAGCACCTTCACCTCAGAGCTCCTTGAAGTAGGTATTGTTATTTATCCCCGTTATAGTTGAGAAAATTAAGGTGCGCAGACAGGAAATGACTTGTGCTACATCCCACACTATTAAGAGGGTGGTAGGGAGCCTAGATATGGGCCTTCTAAGGATGGTTGCTTAACTCCAGGGGGATGACCCTCCTTCCTGGGGAGGATGGGGTCATACTGCTCCCCAGCTCCCTCTGGCCCCGTGTCAGCCAGCGTTACTTTGCTAGGATTCCCACCTGGATTCAGGCTATGCCCCGCATCCCAGCTCCCTATCGCCCTCAGCTTCATTCAACTGAACAAGACCCATGGACACCCATGGGAAAGCTTGCATCTGGCTGCAGAGCACCTCAGACTGCCTGGGCCCCAGGCCTCCATGGGCCACAAACCAGCACACCACTGCCTTTCAGATGGGCCAAGAGGGTGGTGTGAATGCCCATCCCTCGGGAAGGGTTTGGAGGAGGGCTGCTGTTTTCTGGAACAAGAGACCATGTAGCCCCTCTGGGGACCCCCAGTCCAACCTGCTGACCTAGTGTTCTCATTTTTCCAGCTGGTTCATGGGACGGCGACCTGAGTACACAGACCCCAAGGTGGTAGCTCAGGGTGAAGGCCGGGAAGGTAAAGTTTGATGCACTCTACCCCAAGCCCATGGACAGACGGGAGCCGGGGAGGGTCTAGGTGGGTCCCCAGGAAACACAGTGTGGGTGTCAGGGACCCACCACACCCTCGGACACTGGTGCTTCTGGAGCAGAGCCCAGGGGCTTGCCCAGAGTATTTCCCAGATGTGGGTGTGACTGGAGCACGGAGGCTTTGCCATGTCAGTCTGTCTCCACTGCTGTCCCTTCACTTCCCAACGAGGGGGATGGGCCAGGCACTGCTGTCGCCATCCTGGAGATGAGAATGCTGAGGTTGGAAGAGATTCCCAAAGCAGTCTGACTCTCCCACTCTCGCCTGGCTGACATTGCCCTTCTGTCCCCAGTGACCCGAGTACGCTCCCAGGGCTTTGTCACTCTCCTCTTCAACGTGGTGACCAAGGACATGAGGAAGCTGGGCTACGACACTGGGCCTCCGGACACACAGAGCATCCTGGGGCCCAGTCCACCCCAGGGCCTCCCCTGAAGGCGCCAGTCCCCCACCAGCAAGTCTTGCTGGGCAGTCGAGCAGACCAAGCAGCTCTCAGATAACGCCTGGGCTGTCCTGGGGGGTCGGCCACCAGCTGCCTGGACTGCAGCTTGGGGGCGGGGACAGGAGTGGGGAGATGCTTTTATATAATAAAATGGTGACTTTTCATAGTGCCCGGGCCTCAGGCTGCCCCTCTCCCCTCACTGGACCAGCACCTCCCCTCCATCTGCTGACCTATGGGCTCACTCCAACCCTGCAGGGCAATTGCCCGGGACAGAAGCCGCCAGTCAGCGGGCCAGAATGGCCAGTTAGGGTGAGCTCCTGTGCTTAACTGGCTCTGCCACTCACACTCACAGCTGTGACTCTCTACACCTCTGCACGCCTCTAAGTTGGGATATCCACCTGGGAGGCTTTGCGAGTGCAACAGTCACTTGTGAGCCATGTTCCATGAGCGCCATCTCAGCCAGTAGGAGCTGCAGGGAGAGGCCCCAGCCTACCCTGGGCCTGATCCCAGAGGGAGGCTGGGCCCAGAGGTGGGAAACTGCAGCAATCAGCTATCCAGCATGCCTCAGCAGGAGAGGAAGATGAACTAGGGCCCCTAGCACAGTCCTCAGGATTCCACTGCAGTGGTCTCCCTCCCCATGCCACTTCCCTGCACACCTGCAGCGTGAGCCTGAGCCCCCTCCTCGCAGCCTGCACAGTGCCTCAGCAGGATTGAAGGGGAGGCGTAAGGTGCCTTCCCTCAAGCTCCTGGCGGGCCCTCCGCCTGCCTTCTGAAGACTGTCAGTTCCGCCCTGGATGCAAATGGGATTGCTCTAAGAGCTGTTGTTCAGAACGCGTCCTCTCACTTAGTTCTCAGCATCAGGAGTTTATGCTGCTCATGGTACCCCCTTCTCTGCCCCCAAATCACTGCTTTGGAACTCGGGGTCTGTCATGGTAACTGTGCATGCAGTTCCCTATCTCTCCATCTGGAACTGAAGCCCACTGTCCCCTGGGGTCTCACAGGAAGAATGTTTTTGTTCCCAAACCCCAGGTAGAACTTGCCCCTCATTAGCATTTCCTCATTCCTGTTCCTGGCTCTTGGATGTCAGGCCATCACTCTGCCTCACGTTACCTTGTCTTTCTGCCCAACGACCCTTGGCAATATCACTGCTTGCTTGTCCCCTCCCGTGGTAGCCTGGACCGTGCTGGAGGCGGCAGTATCCCCACATGAAAGCAGCCAGGCTTCCTGCTCTCTGCTTGGACAGCTGCCCACAGGCGTGAGACTGGGAAAGTCAACCTGTGTTGTAAGCTGTTGAGACAGCTGCTACTACAGTGTAACCTAGTGTACCCTGACTTACTTAATGCACCCCTCACCTGTCCTAAAAGTGACACCCTGGCTGTCGTGCCCCCAAGGCAAATCCTGACTGGGTGTTGGGAGGTCAAATTATCAGCTCAGAAAGATGAGGGCGCAGGGCAGCCCCAGAGCAGAGGTAGAAACTCGGGGCCTCACTAAAGAAGCTGGTATGCTGGCCTGTGACCCTTCATCTGCATTTTCCTCTAGCCCCCCTCCCACCCCACCCCCCATTTCCCCACAATCTACTAAGCCCCTCTGCACCCTGTCAGCTGCCCAAGTCACCTGGGAGCCAGTGACTGCAATTATTCACGGATCTGCAGGTTCAAGGGGCAGCTTCGAGGGCAGCTCTTCTGGGGATGTGCATGTGGACGAGGAAGTGCTGAGCAGACCTTGGCCTGCAACTGGCATGCTGTCACAACTATGCATGTCTTGTGGCTAGGCCCCAAGTCTGTGGGTGGAGAATTGCTCCCGCTGATCAGGCCACAGCCAGGAATAAGCCCATGGCTGACACAGCCACCACCACACCTCTGCACCCATCACAGTGTCAGTGTCCCAGGGCTGCCTCCCAGCCTGGTCCTTCCCTGATACCCAGAGGACCAAGCAGGCACCCAGCGGCTCAGGCAGAGGGCCTAGCCACCCCTCTCGTGTGGTGGACTGACAAGATGAGAGTGGGGGAAGGACACAGCCAGAAACAGTTGTCATGATACAAATGATAAATTATATTTATACAGTAAATAAGTATCAATAGTCAACACAAGTTCAAAACCAGACACCGGCCCCTAGGACTGAGGAAACAGCTGGATGACACCTACCCCGGTGCCAGTCAGGAAGGAGCAGGACAGCATGTGTGCAACACACGTGGCAGCGGCCGGTGGCTTCATGATCAGTGCAGTGGGCAACAGTGACAAGGCGCCAGGGCATAGGCCTGTGCTGGGCGGCAGGGCCAGAGTGTTCTTGGGCCTCCGTGGCCGTGGCTATAGCGCTGGGGCCTCAAAGTCACGTGAGGAAGGGCTCTCGTCTGTTAGAAAACGATCACTGACCCACGTGGGTGAGTGTGGTCTGTGCACTGTGAGGCGGTCCGGGTGCGCACCAAGTGAGGGAGAAAGCACCTTCCTGGGAAGCCGCCTGCCCCATCCTCCCTGCCTCCAGCCTCTCCGGGCCTGAGCCCAGACCGGCCTCCGAAATGCCTCGGGAGCCCCAGCTCCCCAGTTCTGGCTGATCAGGGGCTCTGCGATGGCCCTGGGGGAGGGGAGGAGAAGGGGTGCAGCAGCTTTGAATTTTTTTAAACGGGAAGAAGAGTGGCCTGAGCGGGCAATTCTGAATCAGCCTGTATACCGCTGGGTATACAGCAGTATGCATCTCCCCGGACCCAGCGGTAAGGGCCAGACCTCCCCTGGAACCAGAGGCGTGAGGAGGAGGCCGCGCCAAGTGTGGCTGCCAGCGGAGCGAGTCGAGAAGTCCACAGTGAGAAGCAAGACTGAAAGCCCAGCCAGGCAGGCTGACTGTACTCGGATTCAGGGCACACGTCCTCTCTCTGGGAGGAAAGCAAGTCCCTTCTGACCTGTAATTCACGACAATACTTTAAGTGGTGGGTGGTGGGGAGGAAAGCAGGAGGTTGGGAACAGGAGATAATTAGTGCGTTTGTTAAACGTTATTGTGTGAGACTGCTCTCATCCTTCCCCTCCAAAATAAGAGATGATTATTTTAAAATCTGCAACCTGTATCTGGAGTGAGCGGGTGGGTGGGTCAGGGCCAGCCCTGGGGCCACACCCTGGGTGAGGAGGGGGCACCCACTGGGAGCCAGGGGCGACGAGCCGCCGCTCCCAGGTGACTGCGTCCCAAGCCGTCCCCATCTTCACCCTGAGTGTGGATTAAGACAGGAAATCACAGACACACAAGGTTCAAGATGGCGCTTCCAGCTCAGAGGCCCTGCGCTCGGAGTCCTGGTCGGTGCTGTGCATGCCTTCAGTTACAAAAGGAGTTGGCGGGTAGAAACTGGTGCGTCTCATTCACACGTTAGGTTTTCTTTTAAACTTTCTTGATGTTGGTTTATCAGTAAGAAAAATAGCCTCTCTTAGGATCTAGCCAAAAAAGGCAGAGTTAATCAGTTTGGTGATTCACAAAAAAGGGGAAGTTAAAGAAAGGAAAAGGCAACTGGAGGCTAGGATTTTTTTTGTTGCTGTTATAGTTTTTTTTTTTAAATAAACATCATCTTATATGTGTAATCAAATTCCCATATTTTTTCCTATAAAGAATTTGCTTTAGTTTTTCCATAAGGCATTTTTTTTTGTCTCTTTAAATTTTCTTACAGAGTTAAAACCATAAATAAGATTTAAACCACTGACATGACAAGTGCCAATACCTTAATTCAGCCAGACCTGGTAAATTCTATCAAAACTAGACAGTTAAATAAGAACCACGTTATAAAAATATTAGCCAAAAAAAGACTATTAGATAATTCTGCAAACTCAAATATGAAACTGTACTAAACAAAATATGTGCAAACGTATACAAGCATAGAGCCACGTGGCAGGGTTATGCTCAGATTAGTTTAAAGCTTGCTCTAGTGGATTTTATTCAAGAGTTGTCCACGGTGGTGGTGGTAACTTTGAACTCACATGAGTCAAAGAGAAATCAAATATGCACAACCACATCCCCAAAAGTGTCTAAAGGAGCCGACCCTTCTTTCCAGCCCCACCTGGGGCTGCCTCGGGTGTTGCTAGGGCTGGGGGTAGACATGAGGGGACCGTCCCAAGTCCTGGGCTAGGCAGTGTCCCAGAGACCCTAGGGGGCAAGGGCGACACTGGCCCCTGCTGCCTCATCCAAGGCGATGGAGAGCCGGCCAATTTTCATGGGTGCCAGGACCCGAGCTGGGGAGGAGGTGTGCAGGGGCGGCCAGGCTGGGCAGGAGCCCTCCAGCGCGACGTGAGCTGGGACAGTCCCCACCTCAGGAGGCTGGCTGCTGTGTCTGCTGTCTCACCATGCCAGGCACAGAACCTGAGGGTCCAGCTGTAAAGACACCCTTTTGATCAGGAAGCCAGATCTAGGAAGCCCTAACATCCCCTCCCACCTCTCAGACACCATTCCACAACACGAGTCCCTGCTCGGCATCCTCGGGCACATGCCCTGGGCATTCACTCTGCGGGGGGCAAGGTCCAAGCACTAGAGAAGGAAGGGGTTGGTTGTGCCGGTGGCCTGAGCAGCCGATGGGGAAATGCCCACACTGCCCACCATGTTCATTGTGGTGGGGCCCAGGGGCGTCAGGGAGGAACCGCTGGCCCCCAGAGCTGGGTGTGAGGCGGTGGAGGTCATAGCCACAGGCTCCACACCTGGGCCAGGCCCAAAGGACGTGCTGGTCCCCAGAACAGGGCTTCCCCGAAGCTGGTTGAGGGTCAGCGGCTGCGGCTGGTTCACCTGGAAGGGGTTGACAGGAGTTGACGCCGTGGCTGCACCTGGGGAGAGCCGGAGAGAGCAGTGGCTAGTCAGAACATCACCAGGTGCAGAGGAAAAGGGGCCAGGGGGGCAATCACATCCTCACCCCCCTTCCTGTGGGGACCATAGGATGTGGTAGGAGCCAGCTCTTCATATACCCCATTTCTGCCCTAGAAGCCCCAACCTCAACTCTTTTAAGTCCTGTATTTCTCTTCTACAGGGGCCTATCAAGGACTGTGGCCCAGATCGTCGGTTCCCTTCAAGGCACAGGTCTGAGGCTGAACACTCTGAACAAGACATGGTCGTGCCCATGGAGAGCCCACGGGCAGGCTGTGGAGAGGGAGGGAGGCTTCCTAGATTGTTACCTGAGCAGGGTGCTGAAGGGAAATTCAGTATCTCACTGAAAAGAAGAGGGAGGGCGTTCCCAGTAGGGATGGACTGTGTGTGAGGTATGTTAAAAGCGGGCAGTGGAGGGTCTATGCACACACAGAGAGGAAGGGTGGGGCCACAGTGGCCCTGGACATGAAAGCAAGACCTTGGGGCTCATTCCACAGCCCTTGGAGGCCCTAAGGGTGCAGAGCAGATGTTTAGATACCTGAGGGCTGGAGGGAGTGGGGAGAAGGGAAGGAGGACAGGATTTCCTTGGGTGGAGAAGACAGAATCCAAGACCAGGAATGAAGTGTGTCCCCAAAAAGGGGCATATTGGGCAGAACACTGGCTCTCCCTTATCCCAGCACCACCCTTCTCCAAATGACCAATAACTGGAGTTTGCTGAAGGGTCCCACTGGCTGGGGACACCAAGCCAGGGCAGCTTCTGCGGCTGTCTCAACTAAGGAGGGGGCTGTTTTCTACCTCTACCCACCCTCAGATGAACAGCAATTTCACACTCTACCCCCCAGGCTCTGGAGAAAGTAGGGTCCAGGATTGGCTCCACCCCTCCCAGCCCTGAGACTAAACGCCCCTGAGCGTGGTGCCCAGGTACAGATGGCCGTGAGTGGAAGAGCCCTCAAGGTGGGAAGGAGGTGAAGGCCCAGGGGCCTGCAACCGCTCACATTCACGGGAGCAGCAGGCAGCCAGAGGCGGCAAGCATACCTGGTGCCAAGAAAGGGTTGAGGGACTGGGCCGGCGGGGCTGGCCTGGTCACCAGTGAGTCCAGGTTCACCAGAGCCGCATTGGGGCCCAGGAAGGACTCGGGTGTCTTCCGGGCACTGTTGGACTTGCTTGAGGTGACGGTTGGGGGCTGAGACTCAAACAGGTCAGGGCTTGTAGTTCCATTGTTTTGGGGTGGTGGAGAGGCCACCTTCTCAGCTATAAGACAAGGACACACACAGGCCTGGTGAGAGTGCAGCGTGGGGCCCAAGACTGGTGCATGCAACACTGCCACCCCCAGAGCATCCAGAGCCGAACACTGACATCCCCGGATGCAAGATTCCCAGGGGGCCCCAGGCTGTATAGAGGATGGGATGTTCATTGCAGTGTAGTTTCCAACATCCCCGAACTGGAGATAGTCAGCTACAGGGCAGGTTACTTATCTACTGTCCACATAACCACCCCCAAGAATGCAGGGGCAGAAGAGATTCGATGAGGAAGCAGAACTGTGTTGCAATATTAAGTGAGAAAAGTGGGGGACATCTCAGTCTGAATAGCACCAGCTTCCAAAAGTATTAGGATGTTTGGCTTGGTGGCTTCTTCATATTTTCATTTTCTAAATTTTCTGCAATGAACATAATTTCTTGAGAGTAAGAAGAAAGCAAATTACTATTTTTTAAAATTCAGCCAACAGGGGGTGTGCTAAAACACACCAGAGGGAAAGTGGTTGCTTTGCCAAGATGCAACATGGCAGTGGGCACAGAGGTTCTTAAAAATGGTCATACTCTCCACATAGTAATCCCATTTCTAGGACTCCAGTCTCAGGAAATAATGCAAAATGTGAACAAAGATTTAAGCACAAAGATGTTCACCACAGCATTATTTACTTTAGCAGAACCTGAAATCAACCTAAAATGTCCTCCCCAAATTAGTAATTAAATTAATACTGAGCCATACAGACTACATAGCTGTGAACTATTTTCTCAAGAATTTTTAATGTTAGGAGAAAAAGTCTTCAATCTGTAATTCCACAAAAGTCAGGGGGGCGGCAAGATTCAACTCTGACAGCATGAGCTGAACAATAACAAGACTGTATTTAAGAGCTCAGAGCAAGCTGGAAGGTAACAGTGGCTGAGGTAGGTGGAAGGATCACAGATTTTCTTTTTTCTTCCATAAACTTCCCAACTGCTTTACGATGGGATACTTCTAGAATCAGGGGTAGTACTCTGCTGGTCCACAGACAATGCCTGCCTTCTCGTTAAGAGGCAGGGAGGGTCGGGCAAGGACAATTAGGTTGTACACGTTGGCCTGTGGGAGAAGACACTGGAATCTTGGCTTTTTTTTTTAAATGCAGCAAAAGAAAGACCCCAAGAAGCAGAACAGCTGACTGGTTCCCTGAGCACAGAGGGGACAAAAAGGGTTGTCAGAGGTGACAAGCTGCTCGTACCTTAGACCAGGACAGGCCAGGCCTGTAGCTGCAGCTGAGGGGAAAGGCGGAGGAGGTGGGAGGGAAGTGGGAGAGCACAGGGAAGAAGCTGAGAGGAAAGAGAAAGGAGACAAGTTGCTCTACAAGGCTGGGACGTGTGGCCCTGGACAGACGCTGCCTGGCTGTCCCCAGCGACACTCAGGAATGTGTGAAGAAGGCATCCTAGACCTCTGCCCCTCCAGGCACAGTCTCTGCAGCCCACCTTGACCCCTCCCAACCCAAAAACTTAGGCATGGGAAAGCTGGGCCTGGAGACTTGACTCTGAACCCTGGACAGAGGAGCTATAAGGGGCAGGTGGGACCTGCAGCCTTAGGATGAACAGGGGCAGCCATACTTGTCCATGCCCAGAGATGGGACTGTCTGGGAAAGGTGGTACCTCTAGAGAATGGAATGGTAGGAGGTGAATGGAAATGCCAGCTCAGACTTGGGGGGGAGGGGATGCAGGCTAGGGAGCCATGGGGCTCCATCGGGGTAGTGAGGCTGGGACAGAGGTGACAGGCAAGAAACAGAGGGCCCAAGACAAGGAGAGGGTAAAAGGAAAACTCAATCTCACGACATTTCACTGCTGGTAGGTACGTTCCCATAACTAAACTCTTGCAGCTTCCATGATAAAACATAAATGCAAGAAGACAGGTTTTGAAAGGTGATTATTATTTCAATAACTGGACTAAATCAAATGCACAGAATGTTACAGAAGCCACTGTACCTTTACATACCTGTTTTCTTTGAAGTTCGGAGGTTGTCAAATTCTGAAAAATCATCTTTAATGGTACCATTCAAATTACTGAACAGCTCAAAGGCCCCTGCAAGAACATAAAGGCCAGTGACTATGGGTGTATCATGACTTCCTGCTCCCACTTCCCAGTCTACAACCTGGGGGTGGGTCAGAGTGGGGGCTTCTCCCAAGGGCAGGGGCAGGGAAGACAGAGCTCCACCCACATCATGGCTCAGGGTTACCTGGTAGTAGGGCGGTGGCCTCAAAAGGGCCTGGCCAGGAACCCTGACCTCCCTGTGCATGGAATGGGGCACCAGCCTACCCCTCCTCCCACCACCCCCCAACCCAACTTAAGGAAGGATCACAGTGTTGGGCAGAAACTTCGGAGCTGGATCTGGAAGCCTGGAAAGAGCCTGTGGGAAGCTACCATAGGAGGAGGCAGCCTGCCCACAGCATCTTCAGGAATCTTCCTCTACAGGGAGATGCAGGTACCAGAACTCACCTTTCACACTGGATGCTTGGCATCATGCAACCGGGGTCAAAGGTTGCAGGAAGAAAGACTATAGAAAGTGGAGCCATACCAAGAAGCCAGGAGGGGGCAGAGGCTGGGCTAAGGGCAGAGGCTGGGCAGAGGCTGGGACCAAGTTGGGGTACTGAGGTCTCACCAGAGGTGGATACAGGCTTTGTGGCTGATGCTACAGCCCAGGCATCAGCTGTTTTCCCAGCACTGGGGGCAGACTGCTGCGGGGCTGCCCAGGGGTCTGAGCTCTTACAGACAGAGTTGGTGCCGGTGGGAACACCCCATGGGTCCACAGAGGCTGCTGACTTGGCACCTGTAGGAAGGCAGGGCAGGGCTTAGAGAGGCCAGGAAAGTCCCGTGCCCTTGAGCTAAGAAAAAAAAAAAAAAACTCACTGTAAGCTATGTAGGCCTTGCTAGGGTCTGGAGAGCCAGCCAGCAAAAGGTGCTGTCCTGGGGCCCTCCCTGGTAGCAAACACCGCATTAAGAAACTCTCCGAAGCCACTGAAGTACGAGTTTGATCCCTGGCCAGGGAGCTGACCCGCATGGCGCGGCAGGTCTCTCCTGACCCACCTGCTGCTCCCCTCAGCAGTCTACTTTGTCAATCTGCCTGTTCTGCACCCCACTCTGTTTCTGATGAATCCTCTCACCGCCCCTGCACCTCTGGCCTGTACCCCAGTTCTGTAAGCATAAATAAATAAACCTTTTAAAAAAAGATGCTGTCCGATGCCAGCATGAGAAGAGCTGGTAATGTCACTCTGCAGAGTGTACTGGGCCAGGACAGCTCTCTGGGAGGGAGCAAGCTCCCAGCCGCTGGAGCTCTTACTCCCTGAGCTAAATTCAAGCCCACCTCTTCCAGAATCCACGTTCCCTCCCCCGGCTTGTAACATTCTGCCTCAGGCCCCAGCAGCAGGTCTCTTCCCTCTGGCTTTGAGCAGTTTCTGCTTTAGACAGAAGGGCATCACAGAGGATGAGTACAGCATAAAGGGGACAAAAAAACCAACACTGACGTGCTGACCACTAAACTGGGTCACAGCTGGCTTTTTTCCTTA